CTTACTATAAACACTTTTCAGAGAAGGCCATGAAGAGTGAGAAATCCTTTTCTTTCATTCTTTCACACATTCACTACATTTAATTTCATTTACTTTGTTCTAGGTATTGGGCTACATACTAAATACAAAACAAATGAGACACTGTCTTCGCTCAATACAGCTTAAAAATCTAATGATACAAAGAAAATTTTAAACAACTAGACAACTATAACTACAATAATAAATGCTATGGAAAAAAACAACTTTGAGAAAATAACAAGAGACCTCTATATAATGGTCAGAGAAGCCTGAGGTTAAAGAGCTGAGCCTCGCCAAGATCCAGAAGAGTTCACCAAGCAGGCAGAATATGTGTACAGGGAAAGGTCTGTGTGACCGGGAATATCATGAACAATCAGGAGCAGGACACAAGACAAGACTGAGGAGTTAAGAAGAGTTGAAGATGACTCCCACACTTCGATGGGATGCCACTTACTTAGATGTAGAACACTGGAGGAGAAAGGTTTAGGCAATAAATATACTTTCATGCTTGACAATCTGTGAGGATATAAAAGGGGATGTCACACAGGTAGCTGTCACACATCTACTTCTTGTGAGGTTGGTGCTTTTCAGTCTCACCTATTCCTACCATACCATGTAGTTAAAGGTCACCAGGTAATTAAGGCCCCACCACCAAGTCTGTTCAAGACTCAGCCTAGGGCGCTGGCAACATATACTAGGGTGGTAGGTTCAAACCCAGCCCCAGTCAAACTGCAACAACAACAAAAAAATAGCCAGGCATTGTAGTGGGTGCCTGTATCCCAGCTACTGGGGAGGCTTAGGCAAAAGAATCACCTAAGCCCAAGAGCCTGGAAGTGGCTGTGAGCTGTGACACCATGGCACTCTACCAAGGGTGATAAAGTAAGACTCTGTCTCTACAAAAAAAAAAAAAAAAAGACTCAGCTTAGTGGGAGCAGCAACTTCTTTTTTAATCTGAACAAATTGGAAAAGCAACAGCTTCTTGACAAGCAAAAGTGGAAAAATGAATGCAATTACTCAATTTACACCTGTGATCCCAGCACTTGGGAGACCAAGGCTGATGGATTGCCTGAGCCAGAGTGAGACCTCAACCCTAAAAATAGCCGGGCACCTATAGTCCCAGCTACTAGCTCAGGAGGCTGAGACAAGAGAATCACTTAAGCCAGCAGTTCTCAACCTGTGGGTTGCCACCCCTTTGTAACAATGAAAATACATCCTGCATATTTACATTACGATTCATAACAGAAGCAAAATTAGTTATGAAGTAGCAACTAAAATAATTCTATGGTTGGGGGGTCACCACAACATGAGGAACTGTATTAAAGGGTTGCAGCATTAGGAAGGCTGAGAACCCCTGGCTTAACCCAGGAGTTTGAGGGTGCTGTGAGGTATGATGCCATAGCACTCTACGAAGGGTGACAAAGTGAGACTCTGTCTCAAAAAAAAAAAAAATTATTCAATTCAATAAGAGCTTTCTTATAACTGCTGAGTGGGATTATTATATTAATTGCTAACTTTGGAATCTTTGGTTTCTTATTTTTAGTCAAATTACCAACCATGGTATGAAGTTAAGTGGGCCTAGGATTTCAGGAGAAACATTGTATCCTGGTGGTATCAGCAGCATCCAAAGTGAAGGCACTTAAAGAGAATAGCACAAACTCTGAAGCAAAGAGTGTGGACACTTGTACAGCCAGTCCTTCCAATCTAAAACAATCTCAACTGCTCTATATTGACCAAAAAAAGTAGTAAATGATCCCTGTCATCAACAAATTTTAGCCTACTAGCAACACCAGTGAACAGATACCTTTACCTGACTCCTTGTCAAATTAACCTACCTTCCTAAGAATAAAATCAATATTGTTTTCAGTTTCACTGCTTTCAATTTACACAGCTACAATACTTTGAAAATCCTTGTTAAATTAAATTGTTGGTTGAGGTAGCAGCAATCTCCTCAGTCTCCTAATATCAACTCTATTTCTTTAATTCACCCATGAATATTTCACTAAATAAGGACAACTTGCCTAAAATGTTTGCCACTTGAATAGTTCTGTGAACCAAAGCATACCCCTAAGACCACTGCTTCCAGTTACAATGATACCTTTTAAACTTCCCATTGAGTTGTTGCATTATTGTGGAGGTCTCTGATCCAAGAAAACCATGAGTTCTGACTACATTCTTTAAAGTTAGGAATAAAACTCTAAGCAATCTCTAAGTGTTGCAGTTTCCTATGTTCCTAGAGTGACACTAATCCTAGTCAGTCTTGGCGATTAACTGGCTAAAATTCTAGAAAAACTAACTGTATTTTGGAACAGGTCAAAGGACAGAAAAAATCCTTTATGAGACTGCTAAATCCTACTGCAAATATTCAAGAGTCATTGATATTCTAAATACATGTAATACATGCTCATCAGCAAAAATTAATTGAAGAAGGTATATACACAAAGTCCTTAAGTACAAGACCTATAACTTTATTAACTATTCAAATAATTTACACTAGAATTTCCAAATATTTGTTAATAAAATCTAATATTTATTCTTTCAAATTAACTGATTACCTCAAGAGTGACTATTGGGAATGTCTGGACACTACTGTAAGTTTTGTTCAAAACATGACTACCGGCTCGGCGCCTATAGCTCAACC